TGTGTGTGTGTGTGTGTGTGTGTGTGTGTGTGTGTGTGTGTATATATATTATTATTTTTTTAAATGAAAGTCTGGTTTTCTTTTTTTCTAGAGACAAGGTTCTCTGTCGCCCAGGTCGGAGTGCAATGGCACAGTCTTGGCTCACTGCAGCCACAAAATCCTGGGCTCAGGCAATCCTCCCACCTTAGCCTCCTGAGTAGCTGGGAGTACAGGCATAAGCCACCATGCCCAGATAATTTTTAAATTTTTCTTTCATAGAGACAAGATCTTGCTATGATGACCAGGCTGGTCACAAACTCCTGGTCTTGCATTCTTAGTCATAAATATCTCTTCTAATCTCCCTCTGGCATCCCATTTTGGTTGAAGCCAAACATTTAAGCAGACAAGCATGAGAAGAAACAAGGAATTATCCTTTAACTCCTCCAATACCAATGTTGCATAAAGAAGTGAAAAACTCAAATCAAAACATTAAATTCCCAAATATCACTAAATGTTTGCTCTTTCAAAACAGAAATTATAATAAATATTTTCTTGTTCTTGTTTTTATACTCTTTTGAAAACTTGTTTCTTTTCCCCTCCAAATAAAATCTTGTGCAGTTTCCACTTGGACTTACAGGAATGTAAAGCTTTATTTAGGTATGTGAACTGGTGGCAGAGAATAGAAGCTTCAGGAAAAAAAAAAATGAAGGGTTAGAATCAAATACAAGGCTTTGCTTTTAGACACAATGTCACAACTTAAAGTGAATGGGTTTTATTTTGTGTCATATTGCCTGGGAGGTTGCTATCTCATGAAAATCAAAGTAGAATCTAGTGATGCCCAAACCTTTGGTAAGTAGTTATAAATAAATAAATTGGTGAAGTTTGAAGTAACCAGAGAGTAACTGTTAACATTTATTAAGCATTAACTATAAACTAGACTATATTCTAAGAGCATAATTCTGTATTCAAATTGGTGCTATTCTTTAGTTTACAGATGAGGAAACTGGAGAGAGAGAGAGAGCCCGCGCGTATGAGAGAGAAATAGCGAGTGCGCATGAGAGAGAAAGAGTGTGCGTGCGCAAAAGATTGATTAACTCTTAACTATTATACCCAAGACCGCACATCTAATACGAATAGAAATGGAATTCAGACTCAGGCAATCTGGCTCTGTGTCTGAAACGGTAACCAGTTTATTAAACTACACAAGCGTGTGTTATTGACAGATAACTGACTATAAAAACATGTGTTACTGATGGATAATTGACTTGCCAATGCAGGCAGGACCATCTGGCAGTTTGGGGTACTGTAATTTACTATAATTTAGCTTTACAGTAATCTGTTGTCACTGCTTCTTGACTTAAGCACCAATTCTCAGCCTGCCATTTAAGGGCTTCTCCCTTAGTGCTGGCCAGCCTCTTTATTGTGCCCCCAGCTAGCCAACATATTTACTGTTATGTCCAGGTCCCTTTCAAAGCTCCCCAAATATCCAGGCCTGTTTATATATTCCGCAGTCTTCAAAGTTCACTGCCATTCCTTCCTCTTCTCAGAAGCCATCTCTGAGACTTCAAATCACACCTCTTTTTCTTCTCCAAGCTCCAAATAGATTCATGGTCTGGAGCATTGGTTCCCTTCCTTTGTCAACACAAGGATGCCTTTTTAGTGTCAAAAATCACCCCACTCAAACTCCCATGTGATAGTAAATTTGTGATATCCAATGTGGTGGATCTAAGCTAGAGGTTCTTAACCCTGGTTGCTCATTAGAATTGCGCAAGGAACTTAAAAAAAATCCCAATGTCCAGATTGCACCCTATGAAAATGAACCAGAATCTCTGAGGGGTGGCCCAGGCATAGTTGTTCTTCAATCTCCCAGGTTATTCCAAGGGGCTAGTGAGCCTGTGAGCCAGAGAGCCAGCACCTATTGTTTTGTATTCTACCCTTGGAAGCCTCCTCAACAAATACGAAAGCTCTTAAAGGCAATAATATGCTTTGATATTTTAAGCTTTTTAAACTCAAAGTATGGATCATGGACCAGTAGCATCAGCATCACTTGGGAGCTTGTTAGAAATTCAGATACATAGACTACCTCCCTGAGTCCTACTGATTCAGAGAGCATTTTAACAAGATCTTCTGGTGATACCTATGCATAGCAAAGTTTGGGAAGAATGAGTGAGTGAGTTTAAAGCACAAAAGCACTATCTACTTTGGGAGGTTGAAGTGGGCAGATCACAAGGTCAGGAGTTCGAGACCTGACCAGCATAGTGAAATCCTGTCTCTACTAAAAATATAAAAATTAGCCAGCTGTGGTGGTTCAAACTTGTAATCCCAGCTACGAGGGAGGCTGAGGCAGGAGAATCACTTGAACCCAGACAGCTGGAGGGGTAGGAATCTCAAGCCTCAAAGGGCTACTAAAGGTAAATATTCATTTATTAATGTATGCATTTTTACTTCACGACATCATTGTCAGCCTTCTGGGCTGTTCCTTGGCTTGTATGTAGAGGAACACAAAAACCAAATACTATCTTCTCCTTCTAAGTAAGTCTTCTCCCAAGGTTTTCTGTTCACTGATAATGGCAGCCTCTGGCATACGCAGAGCTCCTATGGGCTCACTCTTCTTTTCTTGGAAGCCCTGACACTCACCTAAGATCTTGGTCTGGCGTCTCCTCACCTACACCTTACAATTCTACTTCTCACTCTTACAGACAGGGAACAGAAGGGGCTGGATAATTATACAGCTTGCGGTGGGCTTACATGGTTCTTCCTTTTCCTAATAGAAGAGAGAGTTTGCTTTTTTACCATGGCATTTATATGCAAAAAGCATATTTGAAAACCATGTAAAAATAACTTCTATCAACTCTTCTTTAAAGTATAATATTTATCCAATAATGCCACACAAAAGTAGAAATTTGGCCAGGCAAAAATCAGTGGTTTTCTTCAAAAATGTGTGCTTTGTAGCTTTCCCACACAGTATCAACCATATGTTATAAGTGCAGTTTAATGAGGGGCTCATAAATAGAAATGCCACCATATCTGTTTCTGCACAAGGGAGGGAAATAAATGAGTTCATTAAAATTATGGTGGTGCATGATCTGCTGAAAAGAAAAGCCATTTGTTAATATAAATTAGAACTTATACCTTGATGAGGGTTAGAAATCTAGGAAAAATTTAAATGTAACCCTAATTCTCTGATATGAAAAGCAAGACCATAAAATACTAACTCATCTACACAATTTGAATATAATTTTATTCACTCATGGCTCTTTGGACTTGAATCCAGGCCTTACTTTCACAGAATTTGTTCTTATTTGATCAGAATTTAGTCTCATTTGAATCAGAATTTGGTCTGATAATGATTGGCACAGGCATAGATTTTTTAAAGTATGTCTAAAAGGATAATCCAATTAAAAGATCTTCCCTGCTAAGCTGGAAATGGAGTGAAGCTGAATGTAGCTGTGCTATCAATGTAATGACCTGGGAAAGAGGGAGGCTGAACAAGGTGGAATTCCTTTTCACCAAATTTCTCTAAATAATATAATTTTTTAAGTATCTGAAATAATCATAAGTGAAAATTAATTTATCAAATTTAACACCAATATATAGGAATAACTTAACATGTGTTACTGTTTATAAGAGACCATCAATTAAGATGTGCCATTTTATTTATTTATGTATTTGTTTATTATGAGACAAAGTCTCGCTCTGTCACCCAGGCTTGGAGGGCAGTGGTGCTATCTCGGCTCACTGCAACCTCTGTCTCCTGAGTTCAAGTGATTCTTCCATCTCAGCCTCCCGAGTAGCTGGGATTACAGGCGCTTACCACCATACCTAGCTAATTTTTGTATTTTTGGTAGAGATGGGATTTCAACACGTTGGCCAAGCTGGCCTTGAATTCCTGACCTGAGGTGATCTGCCCACTTTGGCCTGCCAAAGTGCTGGGATTGCAGGCACGAGCCATTGCACCCGGCCAAGGCATATCATTATTTTATATGACTAAGAAAAAATGCTATGCATTACATTAGGAGCTTGTCATTGGTTATAAGATTAGTTTAAATTTCAGAGATGATAGGACATGGGAGAAACGTGTCTTAGAATTGTTGAAATTCAGTAGATTACAAGTATAACACAAGTGATAATTTTATAAGAGCATAGCAACAACTTTTCCTGTCACAAATTTATGATTTGGTGTCATGGTGGTGATACTATTCCTGGTTAATGATGCTATATTTTGCCCTTAACTAGTTATGCCAAATGCTCAGCATCCCCACACCCTCTGCCTCTGCAGCAAAGACTGGAAGTAACCATAAATCTGGCTAATAAAAAAATTCTGTGCTCCTCCTTTGGGGGCAAACAATGGCAGCAAGCCATAGCCTAAAGCATGGCTTGCATTTTACTCATTGCAAACATGAGTGCATGTAGAGACCCATATGCATTTTTATCAAAATAATACTAGCTATAAAAATATGGGAGAGCCAAGAGGGTGTACACCTGTAATTTCAAATGGGCACCTAGGCCTCTGCTAAGGTCTGTCTTGTGGTTTGATGATGGGTTATTCCCACTGGTAAAGCTGTATAAGTAAGATGCATCCAGGCACGGCCTTAAGGGCCCCTACACATGCTTATCAGAATTCTAGACGTAGAATCACTGATATGCGTTATAGTCTCTTGCCAATGATTTAGTGCTTTTTCCTTGTAAACACAGTCAAAGGGACCTTTAAGGCCAGAGAAAGCTGAAAATGAAACAAAGTCTTGTAAAGGGGTGTCTAATTCGGTAAGTGGATTGGTGGGACTGAAGAATTTTCTGGTTAGATGGACTGATCAGAATTGCCAGAAAGTTGCCAAAATTCCAATTCAGGTCATCCTGCATGTAGTTGTCTAAACCTCTCCAATTTCTCAGAAATGGAAATAGAAATCTCCAATGTGGCTTTAGAAGATGGAAAACTGGCATACTCACGATGATTGGGAAGCCTTTCTTCTGAGTAAATAGTCCACAACATCAGGATCGGTCTCTAACAGGCTGATCAGCACTTCATTCTGGAGATCTGGGGGAACCTGGAGGAGACAAATGTTGATGTATAAATAAAACCATTCCAGAAATAGGCAAAATATGGTCACTGACAACTTTACTGTAGCATAAAACAGAGCCCTAAAAATTGCAAGAGAGCAGAGTGATTTGCTGGTTAAAACCAAACATATGCCAACCCATAGAGCTGCTTTAATTCTTAGGACCAACTGGATGATTATCAAATAGTCATATTCAATCCAAAATCTCGCCCCTCATATGCCTGGAGATACAACTGAACCACTTGGATGCCTTTATTGCTTAGGCTAGATTTTCTTGGTTTTGAATAAGGAAAATATCATGGTTAAGAGAAATAGTGTTCATAATTTATTGCCCAAATGGGGACACTTTCTAGAGTTCACATTTATAATTATGCCAAGACAACAGGCATAAATGATGACTGTATTGGGCAGTTCTGGAATATCTGATCAGTTTATTAAGAGGGCAGGCCCTTGAGTCAGACTGCTTGGGTTTGAATCCTAGCCATACCAGTTCACTAGCTGTAGGACCCTTGACAAGGTACATCGACAAGAATCTTCCTAGATCTCAGTTTCCTCATGTGTAAAATGGGGATAACAATAGTACTCGCCATGAAGCATTGCTGTGGTAATTAAATGACTTATTATATGTTGAGACTTTAAAGCAGTGCTTGGTCAATGGTAAATACTCAGAAAATCACCGGCTACTACATTTGCATATGTCACTGTTATTCAGTGCCTGCCTTCACTCCTTTCTTGCACCTGGCCCATCAACAATGAAAAGTTTCTCACTTTGTAATTTGTTAGGCATCCACTAGAGTTCTATAGATGAGCATCATATGTTTTCTCTAAGCCTAATCCATCCACAGTACATTAGAAGACAGCCTCACAACCCTAAGTCATCTGTGTGGAAATGTTCTATAAGAGATAATTGAACCCAGCTCTGACTTGTGGTTTCTTATTCCATAGAAGCTGATAGCTCAACCAAAGGAAACTCAAACTATTGAGAGAAAATAAAATTTCAGTCTGATTCTCTCACTTATGAGCTCAGAGAGAAGACTTTTTAAAACCGCAGGGACAAGTCTTCTGAAAATAAGTGGTTGGTGGAAGAATTTGCTTCTTGCTTCTTGCAGAACTCTATGGTTCTTGGGCTCTGAGAATCTGGAAACAATTTTATTAATAAAAACAGGGATGAGAAAGCAAGGAAATGCATTCCATCTCTTAGAAATCTGTTCCTCCTACTTCATCGTGAATCTTCATTAATGACATTGCTAACTTCTAATCTCACAAGCTCAAGATCTCAGAGTTGTACTAAAGCCTCTCTGCATCCCCTCTCCTCTCCATTCAGAGCCAGGAGGCCTACTAGACTTCATCTCTGTTACTTTTTATCGCTCTTTTCCATTGCAACTACAGTGACCCAAGTTCAAGTCCTCATTAGCCCTTTTGTAGTGGTCATCTGTTAGTCATAAAAGCCTCAATTTCCCTCCTCTTATGACAGTTATACCACAAGTTCCCTCTGGAAAACCAACTGCTACCCAACCCTTAGCTCAAGGGTGAAGTGCACATCCTAGTCTAAGTCTATTGAGCATTCCATTCCCAGATTATCATAGTTGCCTGAGCAATGGGCATGCGACTCCATCAGAGGCAATGAAAAGTCTGGAGGTTTTCCCTGAGACTTCTAAGAGAGGATACAGGGCTTGTATCCATATGAGGCCTGATGATTGTGCCGACAATTGAGCAAACAATACCAAGTACTGGAGAGAGAAAAAAGGGATGTCTTGATATCATTTAAGTCCTGGGACAAACTATGTATGAAGCCATATTTTCTTGTGGATTGTTCAGCTATGTGAACCTTCAAATTAAGTTAGTTTGAGTTTTTCATTGCAAAGAAAAATACGTACTTGATGAACCTTTGATACAACAGCTTGCTAATTTGTGTGCTATTTCCTCAACATGTGCATCATATTTCTTCTCTATGTGTTTGAAAGAATGCTGTGGTCAACATACTCACTTACTAGAAACTCTTTTTATCCCCATGCTGAAGCCATCCACTTGCTTGCTCTCCTCAATCTGTCATTCCCATCTTCTCCCCTAGCAGTCATCCCACACAAGCTCTACTTCAGTACCACTGTGCTTCTTCCTTGGGTTTTCTCCTCCCTCCCTTCCTTTCATTCATTGCATAAATGTTGAGTGAATGCTTCCTAAGTGCCAGGTACTAGATGCTGGGAATTCAGTTACAAACCAAACAGACAAGAATCCTTGTCTTCATGAAGCTGAGAACAAACACGGAAAGACAGGCATTAAATATACAAGGAAAAGAGAGAGAAACACAAGGCAAAAAGAGGCAATGGGAAATGCTAGGGAAGTAGCAGTTTTAAATAGGATGGTCAGGTCCTAGAGATGCTGACATTTTAGCAGAAAACTGAAATTGATAAAGGAGTTGGAGAAAATTATTCCAGGTAAAAGGAAGGGAAAAAACCAATGATAAAGGTCTTGAGTCAAGAGTGATGAGGAAGCCTGTGAGGCTGGAAAAGAGCAGGAAAGGAGGTAGGTGGTAGGAAGGAGTCATGGGGCCAGGACCTGATCTCACAGAGTCTTATGGGTCATGATAAGGACTTCTGCTCTTACTTGAGGTGGGTGGGGATCCACTGGAGATTTTGAACAGGTGACTAACATGAAGCATCGTCACTCTGGCTGCTGAGTTCAGCATAGAATACGTGGAGGAAGAGATAAAGCAAGGAGAGCAGAGAGGCGCTGCTGATCTATCCAGATAAGATGGTGGGTCCTGAACTAGGACGGTGAGATGATAAAAAATATTTCCACCATGGAGATAGTGAAGACAAAGGTGATAGAATTAATTTATTGGATGGAGAGAGGGAGAAGAGAGGGAAAGGGAGAAGAAAAGATGACCTCAATGCTTGGGCCTAGACAACTAGAAAGATAGAGTTGCTGTTGACCAGTTTGGAGAAGCTGCAGGAGGATAAGTTTGGGGGTCAAGTTTTGGAGTGTAGTTTTGATATGATAATGTTGAGAGGTCACAAGACATCCAAATGAAGGAGATATCTTGTAGATAGTTGGCAATAAGGATTCAGAGTTCATAGGAGAGGTCTGGGTTGGACATAGACATTTAAGAGACACATATAGACGGTATTTACAGCCCAGTGACCAGCTGCAGTGGCCTGGAATGAAAGGGGAGAGAAGAGAAAGGGCAGGACATTTCGGTTGAGGGTGAGATTATCTATTCTCTTACTGTATAAAGTAAAGTAAACAGAAAGACATCATTTTTACTGTATTTTTTTCAAAGATCATTATTAGACAGCCATCTGCTGTTATAACAGTTTTTTTAAAAAGGTAACACCTAAGGAGTGAAAATGAGAAGAAAGAGAACTCTTTTTTTATTAATGAACAGCAAAGCAAAAAATAATGTAGGACAAAAATGTATATCCCGATCTCTTTTTTAGATGAAACTTCCATAAACAAATTAGGAAAAGTACTTGTATTTCCTTCCAGTTAGTTTAATTTAAAATTTGCTAGGCTTAGACATGTAATAAAAAATTTTGCTCCAAGTATGAATCCATTCCCATTTGGATTGAAAGAATAAACAATTAGAGTGCAAGCCCTTCAGAGTGGTGCAAACATGACAATATTAATTCTTTGAGAGTATGTGGTATGTCTAAGATAAATTATCAACTTGGATGCATTATTAGCATAAGTTTCAGAAAGTATCATTACTTAAAAAGTAACTTTCCATAAATTTTTGTTAAGCTAGTCTGCAATTCAGAGGTTTTCCTCATTCAACTAGGCTTGACTCTCAAGCAATCATAATTATTGAGGTCTCTTTTATGTAGCATGTATGACTCTCACTTGGTAACAAATGCAAATTGAAAAGGTGACAGTTATAAATCTATCATTTCCTTTTAAAAGGCCCATGGTACCATTTTGGCTTGGAGATACTATTTACAAATAAATAAAAAGATATAGTTTAAACTTCATATATCTGGGACCTGACCATCCTATTTAAAACTGCATCTTCCCCAGCATTTCCTTCCTGTATTACAGGAAGGCAGATAAAATTTTCCTGTGTATTATGCAAAATTGACTACAATGTATATAATTCATTAATTTATTTATAATCCATTTTGCTACAGAACGATTTAAGGCAGCTTCAAAATTTATGTGATTAAACCATATTTAAAAAAATAAAGGAATGGTTCAGAAAATTGGGGTCAGTGGGAAAATGAGGTAAGAAATTTGAAATGATGCCTGGAACTGATTTTTCAATGTTCATACAACAGCAGCCAGTACTGTTTTCCTATAATTCCTCTAATTTTTGGCTATAATCAAACATTTCATTTCCTAACATTTAATAAAAATTTCAAACTACTGGCTCAGTTAAATTGGATGAACATTTTTTTCTCTATTAATTTAGGTACCTATTGGGGAAATAAAAGTCAGGTAAATAAACTGATAGGAAACAGCAGCTTGAAATAAGTAAGAAAGAAATATCCAGGTAGAACACTGACTTAAGCATACTTTTGCAGAAATTAGGATGCCGTTAAAAAAAAAAAAAAAATCTGAGGCAACAGCCCCTGAAGTCCAGTTTGGGCTCTGCTATTTATAATTACTATAAACTTGGACACATCAATCACCTTCTTTAGGATTCTGTTCCCACATATGAAAACATGTGCATATTCATTTCCTTAATGGGGGTATTATGGGAATCAAAAGGGCTAAAAAATTTTTGAAAATAGATTACCAATTGCAAAGAGATCTAGCAATAAGATAGCTTTTAAAAAAATTATACTTTAAGTTCTGGGGTACATGTGCAGATCATGCAGCTTTGTTACATAGGTATACATGTGCCATGGTGGTTTGCTGAAATGGCTAAAAATAATAATAATCTAAAATCACCCAGAATCATGGTCTGCATGCGTTAGGTTGCCCTTGTCTAGATGTTTCTCTGTACTTATCAGTGGTACCAATGTCATGCTGCAGCACAATCTTATTGCTAT